AGCATGAGTTAGGCGCCGCAGCTGCTGCAGCTGTAGCTGCTGCCGCTGCTGCTGCTGCTGCTGCCGCTGCTGCTGGTTCTTCTCGGCAGCCTCGCCTTGCTGCTCTTGCTGCTGCTGCTGCTGCTGCAGCAGCGAGAGAGACCTTTTGGGGTTTACAAACAGGGGAGCAGCAGCAGCAACTGTCAGGCTACGAGCCTTAGCAAAGTGCCGCTGCCCGTGTTTGCTGCTGCAGCGCAGCAGCAGCAGCGGTGATATCTCCGAGCCACTGCTCATCGTCGCTGTAAACCCTAAAACCTAAACCCTAAACCCTAAATCCTAAGTCCTAAACCCCATACCATAAGCCTAGAACAGGTTAATGCTTTTCATTTTAAATTCATTTTGGGGCTTCGAAGGCAAGAATTAGGACGGCAGCGCTCAGCCGGCGCAGGTGACCTTTCACAAGCCTTAAACCCTAAACCCTAAACCCTAAATCCTAAACAACATATTTCTAGACCAAAAAACCCTAAATAGTTTTTTAAAAACATTTATTTTATATTTAATTACTCTTTCGATGCGGAAGACGCAAAGACAGCAGCAGCCGACTTCCGTTCGCTCGCTGGACGCTCGAAGCCCTAAGCCCTAAACCCTAAACCCTAAACCCTACACCCTAAACCTGAAATCCCAAATCCTAAACCCTAAATCCATTTTTTTTCAGTCGCACTTAGTCATGAGGCCACAGACAAGGCCGAGGCTCCAGATCCCCAGTTTGTTAGCACTGAGCCCTAAAACCCTAAACCCTAGACCCTAAACCCTAGACCCTAAACACGAACCCTTAAACCCTAACACCTGAAAGCTTAGTCATAAATACTAAACACTGAGGCCTCAGTCTCTAAAAGAAAGCCTAAACCCTAAACTTCAAACCCCAAACCCTAAAACCTAAACCCTAGGGCTCTATTTGCTTCCGTAGCTGCTTGTGGGCTTGAGAGACGCGTAGCCTGTAAACCCTAATTTGGGGTTTTGTTTACCAAAAGCGGGTTAAGGGCTGAGGCTCGGCTCTGCCGTCCCCGTGCTCTCTAGATTGTCCGCTGCTCCACTCGGCTGCTGCGGCTGCTGCTGCTGCTGCTGCTGCTGTTGCTGCTGCTGCTGAACAAATGCTTTGTACCTCTGGGCGAGCTCCGCGGGCTCTTCCAGTTTGACCCCTTCGAGTTGATTCCCTGCAGCCACCCACTCCCAGCCGCAAACCCTAAACCCTAAACCCTAAAACTAAACCCTAAACCCTAAACTCTAAACCCTAGACGGTGGACCCGAAACCCTTAATCCTCGTCAACTAGAGCATTCCAGTAGTTGCGGATGCTACGCTGCTGCCCAAACACACACTCCCAGCCGCAAACCCTAAACCCTAAACCCTAAAACCCCAAACCCTAAACCCTAAACCCTCGAAGGTCACCTAGAGTGATCCAGTTGTTGCGGATGTTATGCTGCCGCCCGAACAACTCGATCTTTAAAGTGCCTGGGCGCATGCGCTCTATCATTCTGCAGCCAAACAAATGCAAAAGCAAAACCCTAAACCCTAAACCCTAAACCCTAAACCCTAAACCCTAAACCCTAACCCATTGGCTCCCGGAAATCGCCCGAAACCCTAAACCCTCGTCCCTAAAACGCCTTCGGACTGCGGCGGAATTGTGAGCGTACGGAGCTGCGCAGCTGCCCGCTACCAGCCGCCCCGAGGGTTTAGGGTTTAGGGTTTAGGGTTTAGAACCTGTAGATTTCGTCTGGCTTTCTGGAAGTCTGGCGAACTTCGCTGACGATTACGTCGCAGTCGATGTTGCGGTTTACTTTGGGGTTTCCTTTGACCCCGACCAGGCAGTGTTCCTATCCGCAAACCCTAAACCCTAAACCCTAAACCCTAAACCCTCGGCCCTGGACCCTAGACCCTCAAAAAGCTGCAGCGGTTCCAGACTGCTGCACAAACGCCAAGGGACTCTACGGCTTGGAACGCTGGCTTGCAGTTGCGGCAGGTCTGGGGTTTAGGGTTTAGGGTTTAGGGTTTGGGGCCTGAGGGTTTAGGGTTTACTTTTGAGTGGTTTAGCCAGTGGCCTGTCCGGCCCGTCCTTATAATGCGCTGCAGCTGGTTTGTCTTTACCCACAATATCTCCTCCACGCGCCGGTAGCCCCACAGCTGTGTGCGCACCACAAACCCTAAACCCTAAACCCTAAACCCTAAACCCTAAACCCTAAACCCTAAACCCTAAGCCCTAAACTGTAGACCCTAGATCCCAAAGCCCAATATCCACTGCCTTGACTCTACACGGCACAGCTAACGGTGCCGCATAACCAAAGTCAACCCACCAAAGTTATCTGCCGTAAACCCTAAACCCTAAACCCTAAACCCTAAACCCTAGACCTTTACTACTACCCACCTGCAAGCATTCTCTTGCGAGCTCCATGGCTCTACCCGTAACCCAAAGAAACAACAAACCCTCGTCCTGAATCAAGTCGACCTGTGTACACGCCGCACAAACCCTAAGCCCTAAACCCTAAACCCTAAACCCTAAACCCTTCCCCACGATCCCAATATCCCCAGGCGCCGCAAGAGCAGCAAGACCCTCGTGGTCCTGAACTTCGGGCTGCAAGCTAACCTGGCCGTATCTCCCGCCCCACACCCTAAACCCTAGACCCCAACCACAAACCCTAAACCCTAAACCCTAAACCCTAAACCCTCACTCTGAGGCTGCGCATCTCGTCGTCCGTCATGGTGCCATAGGGCAAGTCCATGTGAATGTCCCAGGGAGGGTCTGCCATCACTACATCTACGAAGGGTTTGAAAATTGAAAAATCTAATGTCCTGCGTGCAAACCCTAAACCCTAAACCCTAAACCCTAAACCCTAGCCCCTGCCGCCTGGCCTCTAGGGAGCTCCTCGCCAACGGCCAGCAATGACCTCATAGGCCTTCAGAGTAGATGGACTTGAGGCCTAGGGGCTGGGGTTTAGCCCCTAAGATTAGGGTTTAGGAATTAGGGTTTAGGGTTTAGGGTTTAGGGTTTCAGAAGACGCACCGTATGTCGCAACGGATCCACTGCGCTGGGTACTTCTCTGTGAGGCACTGGGGGCCGATTGAAAAGGGATGAAGGGGTTCTTCTCTGTGCAGCAAAACCCTAAACCCTAAACCCTAAACCCTAAACCCTGAACCCTAAAACCTGAGCCCTAAACCCTAAGGCCTGATCCTCCACAACAAACACTTTGCAATTCTTCAGTTACAATCACCGTAGCGCCATCGTTTAGGCTTCACCTTAAACCCTAGGCCTAAGCCCTAAACCCTAAACCCTAAACCCTAAACCCTACTTCGGCCTTTCTTCAAATTCGTAGTGAACAAAACGGCACTTCTCAATGTGCCGGCAAGTGTCCAGGTAGCTGCAGTCCCCTAAACGTTCGTCTGCGCAGCAGCAGCAGCAGCAGCAGCAGCAGCAGCAGCAGCAGCAGCACCAGCATCAGCAGCAGGGAAATGAGAACACACCGCGAAGCCAGGAAGCAGCAGCAGCAGCAGAAGGAAAAGCAGCAGTGTCACTGCTACCCAAACAGCAACACTAGCATGCAGCTGAACTGCGCATAGCAGCAGCAGCAGCAGCAGCAGAAGCTGCAGCAGCTGCAGCAGCAGCAGAAGCAATAACTGCAGCAGCAGCAGCAGTGGCTCACTCACCCGTAAGCCCCTCTACAATGATCTTCCTATAGTGCAGCTGACACACAAACAAACCCTCCCAAGAATTCAACCCTAAACCCTAAACCCTAAACCCTAAACCGTAAACCCTAAACCCTAAACCGTACTTCAGCCTTCAGGGTCCTTTGTGTTGCTGCGCGAAGTCCGCCGCCCAAGTCTGAGTGTTAGAAGCTGAGGGTTTTCCCCAAGGCTAGGGTTTGGAGTCCACGGTCTAGGGTTTAGGGTTTAGGGTTTACTCTGTTGCAGTAGGGTTTGCCGCCGCCGCTCTGTTTGCTGCACTCTTCTCGAGTCCCAAAAGTGCAGAGAGATTTGAAGGAGTTTTGAGAAGAAGTGCGGAAGACCGCAGCTAGCTGCGCACGCGCCTCGCAAACCCTAATTTAGGGTTTAGGGTTTAGGTATTAGGGTTTAGGCCTTAGGGCTTGCTCCGGCCCCAAAGAGGGCCAAAAGAGCAACAGCAGCAAACAGGTCGGCGGGTATGCTTCGAGCAGCAAAGCGCTGCTGCAACTGCAGCAGCAACTGCAGCAGCAACTGCAGCAGCAACTGCAGCAGCAACTGCAGCAGCAACTACAGCAGCAGCAACAGCAACACCTGCTGTTGCAGGAGAAGCGGTGGCAGCAGCAACAGCAAAACTGCGGCAGCCACAGCAACGGAAACAAAGAGAGCAGCAGAAACAACAAAGAGGAAAGCAGCAGCAACAGCAGCAACAGCAGCAGCAGCAGCAGCTACCTGCTGCTGCTTAGACGTAAGGGTGGAGAGGAGGGCGCGAACTTCGGAGTCGAGCTGGTGGGAGGTTTGGTTCTGTACAGACACACAAACAGATGCTGCTGCTGCTGCTGCTGCTGCTGGTGCACCGGCAGCAGCAGCAGCTTCACAATGGCTAGGCAATTCGCAAGCAGCAGCAGCAGCAGCAGCAGCAGCAGCAGCAGCAGCAGCGGCAGTAGCGGTACTTTCGCTGTGGGTTCGCTGAGAAGGGCCTCAAGCTCCGCCTCCTGCTGCTGCTGCTGCAGCATGAGGCCTTCTTCTTGCTGCTGCTGCTGCTGCTGTTCGTATCTCTGCTGCTTGCGGAGGTGGTGCTGCTGCAGCAGCTGCTGCTGCTGCTCATAGAGCTGCTGGTGCTGCAGGAACCTCCTTTGCTGCGCACTTTGCGCCGCGCCGAGCGCCTGCTGCTGCTGCTGCTGCTGCTGCTGCTCGCTCTTGCTGCTGCGTGCATGCAGCTGCAGCAAGAAAGCAGCAAGCCGGTGCGGATACACCTCAGTTACTGCTTTCAAAGGGCCTTCTCCTTCTACCTTCAGCATTGGCAGTGCAGCAGGAACCCCACACAAGCTGCTGCTGCTGCTGCTGCTGCTGCTGTTGCTGCTGCTGTTGCTGCTGCTGCTGCTGGCTTGGGCTATGAAGGCCGCGACCTCCGCCCCTGAACTTTGCAGCGTCCGCCGCCGGAGCTGCGCTGCTGCTGCTGCTGCCGTTGCAGTTGCTGCTGCTGCAGCTGTTGCTGCTGCTGCTTTCTTGATCAAGGCAGGCAGAGCTGCTACAGACAAGGGCTGCTGCAGCAGCACTTTGTGGGGCAGCGACCCGAGAGTGCCTGCTGCAGCAGCAGCAGCAGCAGAGTCCGTCTGCCCACCTGCTGCTTGCTGCTGTACTGCCTGCTGCAGCAAAAAGCAGCAGATTAGCCGAGCGTGGTGCGCCTCTCTTGTGGCTGCTGCTGCTGCTGCTGCTGCTCGTTGCAGACAAAACGCGGGGTGCTGTAGAGAAGGCTCTCCCACTGCAGCAACGGGAGCAGCCACAGCAGCAGCAGGCGGTGCTGCTGCAGCTGCTGCTGCTGCAGCTGCTGCTGCTGCAGCGTCGCCTGTACCGTTTGCAGCAGCAGCGTCAAAGGATCTAGATGCTGCTGCTGCTGCGGCGGCTGCTGCTGCTGCAGCCGCTGCTGCTGCTGTGTCAGCAGCAAAGGTTCTCTGTGCGGGCGACTGCTGCTGCGGGGGTGCCACTGCGGCTCCCCATGCTGCCACTGCTGCTACTGTGGCTGCTGCTGCTGCTGCTGCTGCTGCTGCTTGTGCTGCTGCCGGGTATTGCCGGGGGCGGCTAACTCCATGGGGAGACTGAGGGCGGGCCTCATAAGGAGAAACAGAAGTTGCTGCTGCTGCTGCTGCAGGCGTTGCAGTACTGCCGGGCCACGGTATTGCTGCTGCTGCTGCTGCACGGGGCCTAGAAGGAGACACACTGCAAGACTCCTGCTTTTGCTGCTGCTGCTGTTGCTGTTGCTGCTGCTGCTGCTGTTGCGCTGTGGTCAGATTTGATAGACTCTGACCTCTGCTGGGACCCTCCTCCGGTGGTGCTGCTACTGTTGCTGCTACGTTTGTGCTGCTGCTGCTGCTGCTGCTTGTATTGCTGCTGCTGGCTAGTTGCTGCTGCAGCGACCCAGTTTGCTGCCGGCGTTGTTGAAAGCGCTCTCCCAGGCGTTTCATTGCTGCAGCGTTTGCTGCAGCTGCTGCAGCAGCTTCTGCTGCTGCAGCAGCTGCAGCAAAGCTGCTACAGCGGGTTGTGCTGCTGCTGCTGCTGCAGTTGTAGCAGTGCTAGCGCAACAGGAACTGCTGCTGCTGTTGCGGCTGCTGTGGTCTCCAAGCTGCGCTGAGGCTTCTTGCTGCAGCAGCAGCAGCAGCAGCAAGAGGAAGAGGTGCTGCCAGCCACACTTTGGAGGTAATTGGAGAGAAGTGAATACCCTAAGAGCAGCAGCAGCTGCTGCTCTGGGGGGCTGAGGTGTACGTACACCTCAACTACAGCTGGACTTCAAACTGATCCGGAGAATTAATTAAATCAAATTAATTAAATAAAGATTTAAAACAATAAAACACAAATTGCGCTTTTCGCTGCTGCCCTGCATGCAGCCCCAGCCGCCCTGAGGTGTAACTAGACCTCAGCTGCGAGCAACATTTGCTGCTGCTCCTTTTTCTTAATTGGGATATCCATTTATATATTTCGACATCTCCTTAGCCATTTTTGCTGCTGTTGCTGCTGCTGCTGCTGCTGTTAGTGCTGTTGCTGCTGCTGCTGCTGCTGTTAGTGCTGTTGCTGCTGCTGCTGCTGCAGTTACTGCCGGTGTCCTAGTAAAATACTAAGTAATAACTAAAATAAGTTAGCAGCAGCAGCAGAACCAGCAAAAAAAACAGTAACGTCCGCTGCAGCAGCAGCAGCAAAAATAGCAGCAGCAGCAACTGCAGCAAATGGCGAATCACATACTTAGCAGCAACAGCAGCAGCAGCAGTGGTAGCAGCATGCTTCTGCTGCAGAAGAACGTGGACTGAAGAGATTTCTTTGAATGAAGAATTAATCAAAGTATTTAATTTCCATTTGATTGACTTCAGCACTTGTTTCCCTGAACGAGGGTTTAGGGTTTAGGGCTTAAGGGTTTGGGGTTTGGCGAGCCAGCTAGCGAAGCAGCTTAAACAAGAGCCACGAAAGCAGTCAGTTGCTGCACTCTGGGCAGCTCAAATTAGGGCACAGCTGCTGCTGCTGCTGCTGCTGCTGCTGCTGCTGCTGCTGGACCTGCTGCAGCACGTGCTGCACGAACTGCAGCAGCAGCGGCGAGCAGCAGCAACAGAAACGGCCGTGTATGTGCCGGACAACCTGCTGCAGCAGCATGAGCAGCAGCAGAAGCAGCAGCAGCAGAAACACCCGCTGCTGCTGCTGCTGCTGCTGTCCCAGGCCAAGCGCTGTCGGCCCTTTGCTGCACGGCTAGCCAACTCGCTAGCCGGCCAATCAGCTTGCCTAAGCTGTGGCTAGCTAGCTACGCTAGCTAGCTAGTCAGCCAGCTAGCCAGCCAGCTAGCCAGCCAGCTAGCCAGCCAACTGGCTAGCTAGCTAGCTAGCTAGCTAGCTAGCCAGGCAGTTAGCTAGCCAACTAGCTAGCCAAATAGCTAGCTAGCTAGCCAGATATCCAGCCAGCTAGCCAGCTAGCCAGCCAAATAGCTAGCCAGCCAGCTAGCTAGCCAGCTAGCTGGCACGAGGTAGTGAGCCAGCCGGCTCCGGCATCCTGTGGCTGGAGGGCCAGCTGGCCTCATGCCTAGGGTTTAGGGTTTAGGGTTTAGGGTTTCTGGCGGACTTGAGGATGGCGTGGAAGTCCGAAGTTAGCGAAGCGCCGCCAACCAAAAAGCCGTCGATGTCTTCTTCTTTAAACAGATCCTGAACAGCAGCAGCAGCAGCAGCAGCAGCAGCAGCAGATGCACTCGGCCCTCGCCTTTGGCCTGTTCAGGTGGCTAGCTAGCTAGCTGCCTAGCTAGCTGGGTAGCTGGCTAGCTGGGTAAATGGCTAGCTAGTTGGGTAAATGGCTAGCTAGCCAGCTAGCTAGCCAGCCTAGCCGGCTAGCTAGCCCGCTGGCTAGCTAGCCGGCTAGCTAGCCTGCTGGCTAGCTAGCTAGCTAGCTAGCTAGCTGAGTGGGTTGAGTAGCTTGCCATGGCATTGGAGCCCTTGACGGAGCCTCCATAAATGATGCGGGTTTGCTGCGCGACTTCTTCGCCGACGTGCTGCCTCAGCCACTCGCGGATTTCTGCAGACAAACCCCAAACCCTAAACCCTAAACCCTAAACCCTAAACCCCAAACCCCAAGCCCAAAACCCCAACCCTAGGCCGTAAACCCTGGGGGTCGGTGGCGCGGCGGCGTCCCTCGCCCCGCGTTAGCCGGGGCGGCTGCAGCGGGGCCTAGGGTTTAGGGTTTAGGGTTTAGGGTTTGGGACCTTTGTGGGTTTGCTGCGCAGTCTGCGGGGAAGCCGTCTGGCCAGTGCCGATGGCCCAAATGGGCTCGTAGGCGATCACCACTGAGCGCCACCCGACGCCCGCCAGCGCCGACGCGTACGCCTGCGGTGTACAGACACCCCGGACAAATGTGGGGGTGTGCGGTGTACAGACACTTCAAGTCGCAAGTGCGGGTGTGCGGTGTACAGACACCCCGGACAAATGTGGGGTGTGCGGTGTACAGACACCCCGGACAAATGTGGGGGTGTGCGGTGTACAGACACCCCGGACAAATGTGGGGGTGTGCGGTGTACAGACACTCCAAGTCGCAAGTGCGCGTGTGGGGTGTACAGACACACCCGGACAAATGTTTGGGGTATGGGGTGTACAGACACTGCAGATCAAATGTGGGGGGTGTGGGGTGTACAGACACTGCAGATCAAATGTGGGGGGTGTGGGGTGTACAGACACTTCAAGTCGCAAGTGGGGGTGTGGGGTTTATAGACACTGCAGACAAATGTGGGGGTGTGGGGTGTACAGACACCTCAAATCGCAAGTGGCGGGTGTGGGGTGTACAGACACCGCAGACCAGAAGTGTGGGGTGTACAGACACCGCAGGCTAAAGGTGTGGGGTGTATAGGCAACGGCAGAGAACAAAGTGTGGGGTGTCTAGGCAGCTTTGGAAAGTGTGGGGTGTAAAGACAGCTACAAATGGTAAAGTCTGAGGTGTACAGACAGCCACTGGGGTGTACAGGCAGCTCGAAACAGCAAAGTGCGGGGTGTATAGGCAGCTAAATAGGGCAATTTTTGGGGTGTATAGGCAGCTAAATAGGGCGAAGTTTGGGGTGTATAGGCAGCTAGAAGACACAGCGCTGGGGTGTACAGACAGCTCAAAAAGCACCTGCAGCTGCTGCCCCAAAAACTCCATCGTCTTGCCGCTCTGCCGCGTCTCTAGGCTTTCCCCTGCAGCACCAAACCCTAAACCCTAAACCCTAAACCCTAAACCCTAGACCCTCGGGCCCTGCACGCGGTTGCAGCCAAGACTATGCCCGAGACAGTTTGGAAGCCCACGTTGTAGGGTTTCGGAGGAGACTGCTGACCTAGGGTTTAGGGTTTAGGGTTTAGGGTTTACCGATGCATGCAATGACTTGCAGTCCGTGGTCCACTGCGTTCTTTGCCTTAGCAGCCACAACTTCGTTGCTCTCTCCCTGAACCACAAACCCTAAACCCTAAACCCTAAAGCCTAAACCCTGAAAAGTAAGCCGTAAACCCTACGCGCTAAAGTCCCAAACCCTAGCAGCAAGATGTGCGCTGCTCCTTACACTGCTTGCTGGGATTAGGGTTTAGGGTTTAGGGTTTGGGGCCTACCGGCTGCTTGCCAAATCCAGCACGCCTTTCGCTGTGGCCCACAATAACGGTTTTAATGCCAAAGTCCTGAAGCGCAAACCCTAAACCCTAAACCCTAAACCCTAAACCTTAAACCCTAAGCCCTAAACCACATATCAAACTCCAAACTCTGAACCCTCAACCCCGCCGCGCAAACCCTAAACCCTAGACCCTAACCGCCAACCCTAAACCCTAACTCCTAGTCCCCAAACCCCAAGGACAAAACCCCACCCAACGACCCGCACCTCCCACCTCCCAAACCCTAAACCCTAAACCCTAGAGCCTAAACCCTAAACCCTAAACCCCACCGCCCACCCCCGAAACCCTAAATCCCAAGCCCAAACCCTACCCGCGCCCGCTTCCCCCCAAACCCCAAACCCCAGACCCTACCCCGCACCCGCTCGCCCCAAACCCCAAACCCCAAACCCTAAACCCTAAACCCTAAACCCTAAACCCTACTTTGGCCATTTGCGGGGCTATCTCGCCAGTAAAGGCCCCGTAGCCCTTCACTTCGCTGCTGTCTTGAAGAGCAACAGCAAAAGGCCTTCGGAGGCCCCGCAGCAGCAAACCCGCGTGCAGCGCGGGGGGAGCCACCACCACCTGCGCACAAACCCTAAACCCTAAACCCTAGACCCTAAACCCTAAACCCTAAACCCTCAGGCCAGAGGTGGAATTTTCGGGGCACCATTTTGGCGCGGGGTGGGACAAGGGGGAGGAATGGGGGCGGCGAGGCGCTGCGGGCGCAAGCAGAGGGACAAACCCTAAACCCTAAAGCCTAAAGCCTAAGCCCTAAACCCTAAACCCTAAACCCTCGCCTCTATGTCGTCGACTTCTGGAGGCGCGTCGTTCAGCATTTGCAGAATCGCCTCAGCGCCTTTTGTGTCTCCGTTGCATTTCCAGTTGCCCCCCACAAAGGGTTTCCTTGCTGCTGCCAGCTGCTGCTGCTGCTGCTGCTGCTGCCTGCTGCAGCGCAGGGAATGCTGCAGCGGCCAAGCAGCAGCAGCAGCAGCAGGGGCCCCCAGAAAGGCGGCGGGCTGCTGCGGGGGCCCCAAGGCAGCAACTTCAGGTGTACGTACACCCCAAACCCCCAACGCGAGAGCCACGCATGCAGTTGCTGCCCCCAGCATCTTCTACGGTTTTTGGTTTAGGGTTTAGGGTTTAGGGTTTAGGGTTTGGGTGTTGAAGGCCTGGTCTCGTCGTCTCTCGTGCCTTCCGCGCGGCCAGGGACTAGGGCTGAGAGATTAGGGTTTAGGGTTTAGGGTTTGAACAAAGCGAGACAAGGACGAGCCAGCTTCTCTACCATCAAATATTGGCTACGTTTTAGGGTTTAGGGTTTAGCATTCACGATCTAGGGCCTAGGCTTGAGGGCTTAGGGTTTAAGTTTAGGGTTTAGGGTTTAGGGCTGCCGCAGCCGACGGCAAGACAAGGGAGACAGCGAGACGTTTGCCCCGATGGCTGCTGCGGGGGCCCTAGGGTTTAGGGTTTAGGGTTTAGGGTTTAGGGTTTAGGGTTTCAGGTTTAACTCAATTTTTGCATATTTAGGCGCGTTCTACTGCTGCTATACATTAGACAGCAGCAGCAGCAGCAGCAGTAGCAGGAGCAGCGGCAGCAGCAGCAGCAGCAGCAGCAGCAAAGTTGGCTCGTGGGCTCAAATCTTTAGTAGACGTTTCTGATGCTTCTATGCAGCTGCAGCGGCGTTATCAGCTGAGTGAGAAAACAGATGCAGCAGCAGCTGCTTCTGCTGCTGCGGCAGCAGCGGCTGCTGCTGCTTCTGCTGCTGCTGCCGATGCTGCTGCTCGCTGACGGGCTTCGAGCCCCGCAGCGCTGCACATTGAGGAGCTGCTGTGGCAGCAGCACGAACACTCTCGGCAGCAGCAGTAGCACCTTCTGCAGCACCCGCAGCCTCAGCAGCAGCAGCAGCAGCAGCAGCAGCAGCAGCAGCAAGCAGAGGGGCAGCTACGCCTTCATCAGTGGTCGTATCGACAGGGCAGCGCCGCTACCGCATTTTGGCGCTAGCCGAGCAGCAGCAGCAGCAGCAGCAGCAGGTGCTGCTGCTGCTGCTGAATACACGCCTCGTAAGGCTGTCGCTTCCGGCCCAGTTCGCCGCAGCCCCAGCAGCAGCAGCAGCAGCAAGTTAGCTGCAGCGGGAGATGACGAGGAGGGGTGGATTGCGCTGGAGCTGCGGCAGCAGCAGCAGCGCCACCAGCAACAGCAAGAGGAGCTGCAGCAGCAGCAGCAGCAGCTAGCGCAGCAGCAACTAGGGGAATGGCTCAGCAGCAAAAACCCCACATTCGACAGCTTGGAAGCTATAATCACTGGCAGCAACCAGCAGCAGCAGCAGGGACTGCCGCCAAAGCAGCAGGAGCTGCTGCAGCAGCAGCTTGCGCAGCAGCGCCTGCTGCACGAGGAGCTAAAGCAGCAGCTGCAGCGGCGACAGCAGCAGCAGCAGCAGCAGCAGCACGCACTTCTGCAGCAGCACGTAGCCCCTGCGCAGCCCGCGGGGCCGCAGCCCCACCCGCTCCCCAACCAACAGCAGCAGCAGCAGCAGCAGCAGCAGCATTTGTTTGATTTAAGGAATTTTGATGCAAAGAAAGGACCCCCGCAAGGCACAAGAGCTGTTCTTTTGGATTCTCTTAGCGCCAGTGTGCTGCAGATGCCGCGGGAGCCGCCGCTGCTGCCGCAGCAGCAGCAGCAGCTGCTGCAGCAGCTGCAGCAGGGCCCTGCTGCAGCCCCCGCAGCAGCAGCAGCAGCAGCAGCAGCAACAGAAGAGGAGATCAAAGTGCCTACTGAGGGATATATCAACGGAGTGTACATGACGGAGCAGCAGCTCGACCTCGCGCTGCAGCAAAAGGCCAAAGAACAGCAGCAGCAGCAGCAGCAGCAGCAGCAGCTGTTGCTGCAACTGCTGCACCAGAACGCAAAGCAGCAAATGGAAAAGGCAGCGCACGTGAAAATCGAGGACGTTGACAGGTCTGCTGCTGCTGCTGCTGCTGCTGTTTTCTACTGCTGCTGCTCTTGCTTGTTCCTGCTGCTAGTTGCTCTTGCTCCTGCTGCTGCTGCTGCTGCTGGTCCTAGCCCACAGGCTGCTCAAGCAGAGAAAATAGCACGTTTGTGTTTGCTGCTGCTGCTGCTGTTGCTGCTGCTGCTGCTGCTGCTGCTGCTGCTGCAGCTTGTCGCCTGAAGACCTAAACGAGTGTTTGGTCTACAGGGGCCTCCGCTGCGAGGGCAGCCTAGAAGTGCAGCGGAACCGGTAAACCCTAAACCCTAAACCCTAAACCCTAAGGTGTTAGCACTCGCGAACAGTGAGCCCACGCTCTGTGTGCGTAGGCAAGGGTTTAGTGTTTAGTGTTTAGGGTTTAGGGTTTAGGGTTTAGGGTTTGTGGGGCAGGCTGAAGGACTCTTTAAGGAATGGTTTGGGGCCCCAAGAACCAGAGCCAGAAGCAGCTCAGCGCTTCGCTGCTGCTGTAAACCCTAAACCCTAAACCCTAAACCCTAAACCCTCACGCGTGGCGCAGAGCTTCGGGTTGACGCCTCATCCCTTAGAACTCCTCTAGTGTTTAGAATTTAGGATTTAGGGTTTAGGGTTTAGGGTTTAGGGTTTGCATGCAGGTAAACGAGATCGAGAGGCCCCTGACGCATGCAGGAGATGCAGCAGCAGTTTTCCGCAGGTGGCTGGCGAGGGCCGAAGTTGCTGCTGCTGTTGCTGACCCCGTAAACCCTAAACCCTAAACCCTAAACCCTAAACCCTAAACCCGAAAACGCGGTTTCGGGAGCACGTGCCGCTCGCCTGTTTGTGGAGCGCAAAAGGGCTTGAGTGCTTGGAGTTTGAAGTGCAAGAGACTTGAGACAACATTTAAGGGTTTAGGGTTTAGGGTTTAGGGTTTAGGGTTTGAGTGCAGGGCGGGACCTTCAAGTTTGACCAGCAGTCTCCCAATCATGATTTGTCTCCAGAGGAATTGGCAGAAATAGAAAGAGAAAAGAATGAAGAACGAATAACTCAACGCCCTCCTGCTGCTGCTGCTGCTGCTGCTGCTGCTGCTGCTGCTTCTGGTGGAGAAGCTGCAGCGGCAGCTAGCCAGAAGCAAGTGCACGCCGGAGCAGCAGCAACAGTAACAGGAACGGCAGCAGTCGCTGCAGCAAGTGCATCAGCAGCAGCAGCAGAAGTAGACTCAGCAGCAGCAGACGACGACGCTGCAGCAGCAGCAGCAGACGCAGCAGCAGACGCAGCAGCAGACGCAGCAGCAGAAGCAAACGAAGATTTCAATGCCTTTTTAAGAGACAAGTTAGGGGGAGTCTTTTGGACTGCTGATGAGCTGCAGCAGCTGCAGCAAATGCATGCAGAGGGGAGGCAGCAGGAAATGCTGCAGCAGAGGGATCAAAGGGAGCTTGAGCTGCTGTTCTCTAGTAAAGGTCTGCTGCTGCTGCTGCTGTTCCTGCTGCTGCTGCTGCTGTTCTTGCTGCTGCTGCTGGTTTTTTCGTTGCTGCTGCTGTTGCGGAGAAAATGCACCGGCTGTGCTGCTGCTGCTGCACCAGTGCTGCTGCCTGTGGGCCTGTCGTCGACTCTGAGAGCGTTGCTGCTGCTGCTGCTGCTTTTGCTGCTGCTGCTGCTGCTGCAGAGGACCTTTTGGGGGAGTCGATTCCCAAAGTTTTGGACATAAGAGTTGATGGTGAAGTTCCTCTAGAAGAGCCCGTTGTTAGAACAGAGTTTTTCGAGGCAAGTGTTTAGGGTTTAGGGTTTAGGGTTTAGGGTTTTGCGTCCCTAAAAAGGCTTTGGGAGTCAGCTGCGTAATCCGTTGCTGCTGCTGTAAGAGCTGCTGCTGCCGCTGTTGCTGCGGCTTAGTAGGGTTCTTCCGTTGCTGCTGCTGCTGTAGCTGTGCTGCTGCTGTTGCTGTGACTCTGTTGCTGCTGCTGCTGCCGCTGCTGCTGCTGCTGCAGGACTTGTCTGATGAAGAGAAAAAGGCGAAGTTTCTGAAGGCACAGCAAAATGGCGTGCTGACGGAGACGATCGAGGTCTGCTGCTGCTGCTGCTGCTGCTGCTGTTGCTGCGCTTGATTGTAGTTCTGTTGGAGAATCTGGTGCTGCTGCTGCTGCATTTGCCGCTTCTGCTTTTGGGTGCGTGGGGCTGCTGCTGCTGCTGCCCGCCTTGCTTTGGCGCACTGCGGCGCCGCTAAACCCTAAACCCTAAAGAAGGGTTTGCGGGTTTGCGCAGTCCTTGGCGGCGCGGTTTGAAGTCCCCAGGGACTTCATTGGAGACGCCCTCTGCAGGTTTGGCTGCGCTGCTCCGCTAAACCCTAATTTAGGGCTTGGGGAGTTTGTGGCTCCCGAGGGGGTTTGGGGTTTGCTGGAGCTGCTGCACGTCGTGGACCCAAACAGCGCCGGCTTCTTGTAAACCCTAAACCCTAAACCCTAAACCCTAAGCCCTAAAGCCTAGAAGCCAGGGGTTTGAGGCCCGCAGCCCGAGCGCGCGAGCAGCAGCAGCAGGGACTAACGCCCGCGGGCGGCCTTCTGGCCGCAGCGCTCCAAACCCCAAACCCTAAACCCTAAACCCTAAACTCTAAAATGTGGTTTGTGGCAGGTACCCTGATGAGACAGTGCAGGAGATCGCGACGCAATTTGGCTTCAGCATGGGACAGACAGAAAACATTTGTCAAGAACTTGGATTCCAGTCTGCTGCTGCTGCTGCTGCTGCTGCTGTTGCCACAGCTTGCAGTTTTTGCGTTGCTGCTGCGGCTGCTGCTCAGAGCTACAGTGTTGGTGCTGCTGCTGTTGCTGCTGTTAATGATGCGGGTGCTGCTCAGAGTTAGACCTGTTGCTGTTGCTGCTGCTGCTGCTGGTAGTGATTAAAGTGCTGCAGCTGCTGCGGCTGCTTCTGTTGCTGACAGTAACGCAGCTGCTGCTGCTGCTGACTTTTTTCTGCAGTTGCCACCAACTTTTCGTATGCTGCTGCTGCTGCTGCTGCCCGCATCTTGTGTTACTGCTGCTGCTGCTGCTGCTAGCTTCAGTTCTGCTGCTGCTGCTGCTAGCTGTAGCTCTGTTATTGCTGTCTGCGGCTGTGCTGCGCGCGCTGCTGCGCCGGTGGCACTCTTCAGCACGAGTTGCTGCAGCAGCTGGTGCTGCTTGCTAAGCTCCTGCTGCTGCTGTTGCTGCTGCTGCTGCTGTTGTTGCAGGCTGCCCTTTGGGGGAGAGACGCGCCTTAACAAAGAATGCTACGCGGCGCTAACCCAGAGGCTAGGAAAGCTGCGGGCGCAGCAGCAGCAGCTGCTGCTGCTGCAGCAGCAGCAACAGCCAGAGGAGTAGCGGGAGCAGCAGCAGGAATTGACGAAACAGTAGCAGCAGCAGGGATGAGAGCAGCAGCAGCTGCAGCAGCTGCAGCAGCTAAGAGCTGCCAAAATCAGGACTTCAGCTTTTTGAATTTTATTCATGTGTTGGGGTGTACGTACACCCCAACTGCTGAGGTGTACGTACACCTTAGCAGTAGTAGACAGCCATTGCTTTCGACTTGTCTTTTTTATGATATATTTTATCAATTTTATTATTGTTATTTATTTATTTGCTTATGTATTTGTTTATTTATTTATTCATTTATTTATTTTATTCATTCATTTGGATTTATTCAATTGGCTGCGGGGCTTTTTCTCCTTTTGCATCTTTTTGCCCTCTTAGAATAGTATCTGTTACTAAAAATTAATTCGAATTAATTAACTGCAACTACAAGCTAGTTTAATTTAAATTAATTTTTTTATACTCCTCGTTCTCCGCCTCATCAGTTGCTTTCCGTAGCTCTCGCCGGCCCTAGGGTTTAGGGTTTAGGGTTTAGGGTTTTCAGCCCCTCTGCCGCCCCACCGGCCACCCCTTTACCGCGGCTCACCCGAAAGCCATTTGGGGGGCCCCCAGGGTCCTGGGGGGCCCCCAGGCCCATCCTAAGGGGCCTCGGGGGGCCCCCAGGGGCCCCCCTGGAACCGGGGGGCCCCCACGGGGGGCCCTTCGGGGCCCCCCAGTGTACCTAATAGCCTTTAAAAGGGTATTTACGGGTACCTGGGGGCCCAAAGGCGTCCCTGAGACCCTGTGGGGCCCCCAGGCCTTCGTTTGGCCTCCTAGAGGCCCCTGGGGGCCCCCGAGGGGCCCCCAGGGGGCCTCCATGGGGCCCCTGCAGGGCTCCTGGGGGGCCCAAGGGATCCCCTGGGGCCCCCTGGGGGCCCCCGGGGGCCCCTGGTGGCATATTTGGGGGCCCCCACAGGACCCAATCGAAGCGGCCCCCCTGCCCCTGTGGGGGCCCCCCTGGGTGGGGCGGCAGAAATGAATTATTAGGGAGTTTAAAAGGGATATTTAGGCCAAAAAGAGTGAAAAAAAGGTATTCGGGTTTAGGGTTTAGGGTTTAGGGTTTAGAGTTTAGGGTTTGCTGCTATACAGGTTGACTGCGAGCCAGCCCACATCGAAGGAGATAGTCCCCGCGGGGGTTTAGGGTTTAGGGTTTAGGGTTTAGCGGGTTGTTTGATTATTTATAATGAGTGAAAACACCGAGGTAAACCTATTTTTGTGAAATTAGGGTTTAGGGTTTAGGGTTTAGGGTTTAGGGTTTGTCTCCTGAAGGCCCCGCGGACTGCAGCAGCAGAGCTGCCCCTTGTGTGTCTCCGTCTGCTCCTGCTGCTGCTCAGTAAGATGTTTGCTGCTTCATATGGTTCGAGTTCTTTCCGTTTCAAACCCTAAACCCTAAACCCTAAACCCTAAACCCTAAAACCTGAACCCTCCTCCCCCAGCTCCAGCAATCCCGATGCGCGAATCCTTCGATGCCCCTCCGGGGGGCCCCCGCAGGGCAGCCTCTGCTGCAGCAGCAGCAGCAGGTGCTGCTGCTGCTGCTGCTGACAATGCTAATGAGAGAGAAGGCCGCGGGGCATCACCCAGTCGAAGCTGCAGCAGCAGCAGCAGCCCTACAGCAGCAGCAGCAGCAGCAGCAAAAGACGAAAGGCAGGGCGAGGCGCGCGCCTGCTCTACTGTCAGCACGAGCAGCAGCACCAGCAACGCCAGCAGCAACCGCAGCAGCATCAGCAACAGCAGCGGCAACCGCAACAGCAGCAGCAGCAGCAGCAGCAGCAGCCCGCCGATGTCCCCCTGCGCACCTGCGCGCCGGCGCAGCTCTTCGCCTCGCCGCAGGGCGGGCGAAGCTGCTGCAGCGCGAGCAGCAGCAGCAGCAGCAGCAGCAGCGGGCTCGCAGTCGGAACCAGCAGCAGCAGCAGCAGGAACAGCAGCAACAGCTGCAGCAGCAGCAGCAGCAGCAGACAGTGGGGACTCCGAACTTGAAGAAATGCCTCAAGAGGGAGCTGTCAGCGCTGTGCCGCCGCAGGCAGTTCCTGCGCTGTCTCGAGCGAATTCAAGGGGCAGCAGCGGGCCCTCGCGGCAGCAGCAGCAGCAGCAGGAGCAGCAGCAGGGGCAGCAGCAGGAGCAGCAGCAGGAGGAGGAGCAGCAGCAGCGGCAGCAGCAGCAGGTCAGGTGCCCCGAGTGCCACATTGCCTTTGCTGCCCACGAACTCAATGACCATCTCTTTTCCCACGCCATAGACGCGCTGCAGCAGCAAGCAGTGCAGCAGCGGGCCTACGCCAGCAGCAGCAGCAGCAGCAGCAGCAGCAGGAGGCAGGCGCAGCTGCAGCGGACGCGCTCGGCCGGGCCCAGCGGCGGCGCCCCCATGCCCATATGCGCGCCGCTGCGCCCCACAGCAGCAGCAGCAGCAGCAGCAGCAGCAGCAAGTGGACGTACACCTGAGCGCCGCACCTTCGGCGAGTTTGAGCGCGTGGCTTCGAGCTCCCCCAGCCCCATCGCCTCCTCGTTTGCTGCTGCAGCAGCAGCAGCGAGAGCAGCAGCAGCAGCAGCAGCAGGCCGCTACCCGGGGCACCGCCGCGAGGCCCACAGCGCGCCCTCGTCGCAGCAGCAGCTGCCAAGAGTGTATGATCGGGCGAGCCGCTCGGAGCTGCAGCAGCAGCTGCTGCTGCAGCAGCAGCTGCAGCAGCAGCAGCACCAGCAGCAGCAGTACCAGCAGGTGCCGTATATAACAGCAGCAGCGCACAGAGGCGCCGCGCGCTCCCCCAGCAGCAGCAGCAGCAGCAGCAGCAGCAGCTTCGTGACTCGCGTGGCTCTGGCTCGAGACAGCAGCCCTTCCGCCCGCGAGCGGCTGCAGCACTACCACTACCTGCAGCAGCAGCAGCAGCAGCAGCAGCAGCGCTACATTGACAGACGCCAAGACAGCCACCAAGTTCGAGAGTGTCTGGGGGGCCCCCGTTACAGCGAGTGGGGGGCCCCCCGCTGCAGCTGTACGTACACCCCAGTGTACGGGGCGGGCTTCGCGTACCGCCACGTGTGCAGCTTGCATGCAGGAGCAGCAGCAGCAGGAGCAGCAGCAGCAGCAGCAGGGCCGCCCCTGCAGCGGGCGCACAGCGAGCAGCTCTACAGCGAGTACGCGCGCTCCCGCGCTGCCTCCCCGTTTGCTGCCAGCAGAGCAGCAGCCGCAGCAGCAGCAGCGCCGGGGGACAGCAGCAGCAGCAGCAGCAACAGGGGCTGGATCTACTCGCGCAGCAGCAGCAGCACGGTGATAGGCGTGGGGACTGTGGCCCCCACGTGGGGCGAAACTTTGATAGCAGAAGGCCTAGTGCCTGCGTACGAGCCTCGGGGGCCCCCCCGGGGGCCCCCCCGGGCCGCCCCCGCCCTGGGGGCCCCCCCGGGGCCCCCCCCGGGGGCCCCCCTGGGGGCCCCCCTGGGGGCCCCCCCGAGGCCCCTCGTGGAGGGGCCCCCCTGGGCCCCCTTGCCCCGCGGGCGTTCGCTGCAGGAGCTGGGCCCGGGGGCCCCCGAGGGGCGCGGGGCGTCCGCGGCCGCGCAGCAGCAGCAGCAGCAGCAGCAGCAAGACGAGGAGGCGGAGCGGCGGCTGGTGGAGGCGTTCGCCGCGTTCCTCCCCGTGAGCAGCTACGAAGAAGGCCGCGGGAGACTGCTGGACAGGGACCAGCAGCAGTGCAGCATTTGCTGCGAAGACTACAAAGAAGGGGAGCAGCAAAAGAGACTGCCCTGCACCCACAGCTTCCACCAGTGCTGCATCGACTGCTGGCTGCAGCGCAGCTCCCTCTGTCCCATTTGCAAGTTCGACCTCCTCGGCGAGCTGCGCAGGAGCTAGGGGGCCCCCCTGGGGCCCACTGTGGGGCGTTTGGCTTGTGGGGCCC